CCAGCTGTGTCCTCAGATCCTTGGGGAGGGGGGTTTGGGGGGTGGAGGATAGGAGCGGTGACAACTGAGGCAGGTGTGCAAGCGTCTTCCAGGGGAGCCTCCTGTGGCGAAATGGGGTCCCCTGGCCGTTGGGTTAGAGAGGTCTTCGGGCTGTTCTGCCAGGATACCTACAAAGCACTCATCCCTGCCAGCCCTGTGGGATCAAGGGCATCCCAGAGGCCTTGGGCCAAAAGATATGATGTGGGGGCCTGACACAAGGGACCCCAGGAAGCTGGGGGCATCAGGGTGGAGGCGAGGACTGGAGCCTGACTCCAGCTTCAGAGCAGCGTGGACGCCTGCAAGACGCAGGGGCTGGAGTCCACATGTTTTTGCAACAGCTCTCCCTGAGGCTCCCTGCCCAGGTGCAGGTGCCTTCCTAGGCAGCAGCTCCTGCCCCTACTCGCCCGCCTCTCCTCACAGCTGTCCCAGGCCCCTCTAAAACCAGGGGCCTAGAGTCAGACTCTGAATTGAACCTCTGATGGAGCTGGATTCCAGCCCGCGGGTGAGGCCCGCTCAGAGCGGAGGGCGGAGCACGCCCGCGGGAGGCAGCGGGGGCAGGTGCCCGGGGAGGAGTGGCGCCCCCTTGTGTTCAAAGAGGGGAAGCGAACGATTCTGCAGCTGCAGCCGCTCTGCATCGGAGAAGATTGATTTGTCCGTGTGATGTGTTGTTTCCATAGAAGCAGGGCTTAACCTTTTAAGTGAAGATTATAAAGCTACCTAATTCATTTAAAATTAGGCTTCAAGCATCTCGGTACTTAACGCTCAAGTGCTTCTGTGGGACTTGCTGTAGCCATTGATCTAACAGCCAGACACTGCCTTTCCAGCGTCTGAAGGCTTTCACTCTGGCAGCAATCTAGGTGATTTCTTTATTTTTTAAAATTAACTTCATCAGGAGATATAACTTCTGTGGGAGATCATCAGAGTATTAATAATACCTTTTAATTAATGAACAGCACTGACTTCTCTTCATAAACACAGGAAGACCGGCACACAGGCAAGATCCGCACGCATGCTCAATTAAAGTAATTTATTGTATTCTTCCAGATCAGACATAAAGAGCATCTTGGGAATTGATATCACAAGACAATGTTATACACCGTTTTCACAACCAGGCTTGCATTGAATTCTTTTTTAAAGAACATAGTAATTTAAAAAAATCTAAATATTTACATATTAATAAAACATATATACAGAAGATTGAGATGTTATCCATAGATATGGATTTTTTTTTTTTTTTGCTAAGAAAGCCTATAAAAAGGATTTCTGAATAAAGTCTGAACAGTAGTCACAGTAAGTAAACACAATTTTAATTTACAAAATATGATTTTACTGTTGCAGTTTTGATACGTATTTCCAATGTGTGGATCCATTCATTGCACATATCTTTGGGTTGAACAAGCCCCGCCCGTCCTCAAGTGCTGAATACTCCAAGCCGTGGCCCTCCCTTGGAAGGCAGTGCTTCCGAAGGCTCCCAGCGAATCTCTAACAGACCACATTTGGAAGTTAGCGTTTCTGCCTTTACCAGCAACATACTCATCCTAACAGAGCGAAAGGTCACTAATTAATCTTTTCCCTTCCCTTGGGTAATATTTCGTTGTGGGAGGCACAGGACAGATTTTAAAACCCATGGTGCAAAAAACACAAGAGCCGCAGTTCGCAGTACATCAGACCACTTGATAAAACAAAGGGGCTGTTTTCAGGAAAGGGATTACTTACGGGCCAGAAATGGAAAAAGGCTAACGACAAGGTATGATGGAAATAATTTCTCCAGACCTTCCTTGTAGCTCCGCAAAAAAAGAAAAAGAAACCACACATATACGAGATGTAACTTGTCTAGTAGTTAGACTGACTCCACAAGCCACACTTAAAGCTAGCTTTTTGTCACAGTGCAGGGATGCCTTCTCTCATCTTTGATGACTGGCTGGTCTTTGGTGGAACAGGGATTTTTCCCAGAGCTCCCCTCCTATCTCTAGGTTTAGTGTTTCAGTGTGATGTGACAGGAGTACCTTGGACAGGGTAGTCAGGAAATTTGGGTTCTAGGCAGGACCCCGGCCACAGAGGGGTTAACAGGCTCTGGGCAACCGCTTACCCTCATTCATCCTCAGTTTCCTCACCTGCAGAATGAGGGGTGGGACTGAATAGCCTCTACAGTAACTTTTAGCTCTTAACATTCTGCGCTTTGCTAAATCCAGGGCTAGGGGAAGGCATTGGAACTGCTGGTGGACAGGTGTGAACCCCGAGTTTGGTCATCTGTAGTCAAAATTGGTTTCATGCCAATTTTTGGCCTTTGGATCAAGTGGCAAAGATTCAATGCAATTTGCTTTATACAATAAATGAAGTGTAGATGCAGTGTTTCTAAATAACATAGTGTTTTAAATTCACCATCTTATTAGAGAAAGAAATCTGGAGGTAAATATTTCTATAAAACAAATACCTTCATGGCAATATATCTTTTTAAAATAAATCCAGATTTTCATATATTAGTTTTATATAAAGCAGAGGGCAACTATACTAGGAACCAGATAAACGATATAATATTAAGTACATTTTTAGCCATTTGCCACATAGTGCCAAAACCCTGTACCTCTCAGTTAAGACCATCTGTTAAAATGGCTGTTAGGTATCATGTAGATAATGGATCGATTTTCTCACCTTATAATTAGTTATTTTGTCATTGTGTTGACGCAACTTAGGTGAAAGGTTTTTCTTTCCTAAGAACTCATAGGTCATTGGCACTTACTCAGTTACAAATGGCTATTTGGGGGGTACCGATGTCATGAATGATTTCATCTAATAGGTCAGAGCTATCCTGTCTCCCAAAACAGCTTTTTCATCTTCTAAGACGATGAAGGTCTAATTAATTTTGGCCTTCACAACTGCTCTCTCAGCACTGGAAAGAGCCATGCTCCTTTATATTTGCATCTAAGCAGTTTACATTAAAATAAATACGTTTCACAGCTCTATATTCACACTGAGGTTTTGAATGAAAACAGGGAAGAGAGAACCACTTCTTTATAATGGACAATGAACTAACTGAATCAAATGCTGGACTTTTAAAGGGTAACAAATCAACCCTAAAAGTGATTTTAAAAATCTTATACCATATTGGAGGCTTGGTTATCACACATTACAAAGAAAGTATATGAAACTATTCAAACATGACAGGTAAACTTCACAGAACACCCACACTTTGCAGGCACCTGAAATGCTACGTGGATCTTTGTGGAAATTCAAACGGAAGTTACATATGCCACTGAACAATGTCACTAAAATCAAAGTCTAGGCAGTGAAACCTGGTTCTGTATCCTCCGTGTTTTCTCTCCTGGTGTCAAATATATTACCTACAACAGAGACAAGAAAATGAAGGCGGAGGGCCACTTCTCTAAGGAAGAGTTGTACATGTTTCTGTGACGTGGCTGGAGGTGGGTGTTCCGGACGAGTAAAGAATTTACTGGGGAGGTGTCTGTGTTTCACAGTTAAGTTGCTAAGTTTTTAGCCAAGGCTTTAGTTGTCCTCCATGAGCAATTGTAGAAATCTGAAATTTGTAATGATTTTTTATGAGAAAGGCCATGAATGTGTGTTACCATTAGAGTATATCCACACATTGACCAGTCATAGAAAATGGCCCAAAAGATAATTTACCTGCAAAACAGAGTATCATGCAGCTATTAAAATAATGCATATGAAGATTTGCCATACAGTGGGAAAATGCTTGTTAGGTAAAAATTAAAAAAAAAAACAACGTAGGAAACAAAATTTTACACGTTTGATCTCCACTGTATAGATAAATAAAATGGAGAACCATTTGAGAAAAATCATCTAATAATGGTTGTCTGTGGGTGGTAAAAGCAATTGAAATGTTCTTCCTTACACTTTTGTTTATTAATTTAAAAGAAAAGTATGTAAAATGCCTATTTATGACAATTGCTAAGTCTAGAAGAACATCCCCATTTCAAATTTGGAAGCTCCATTTTAAATTTTAGAAAGCACTGTTTTGATTTCACTTTCTCTATACTTTTTTTTTTTTTTTTTTAAATGCAAACTGTCCCCAGCTCCTGGGTGGCTTTTCTTGAGCCCCAGGCCCTCTCCACACTTCTGCGCTGTAGCATTTATGTAATTCCTTCTGCCTCTCACACTAGTCTGAGGGCATTTTATACCAACATCCTACACAGGGCTGATTCTTGGTAGTTGCTCAAAAAGGATTAGTGAATAGGGTTAAGGGAAAATAAAATGGATGCATTATAGAGGGTGAATCCATTTCTGTTAAAACCTGATGAATAGAAGGTTGCTTAAATGTAATGCATCCAAACAAATGTCATTTGACCTGCCTGTAACCCTACCCTAGTCGCTTCTGGTTCATAGAAACCCTTAAGGATTTACACCCCTTTCCCTGCCCTTGCCCCAAACACACAAGTTTGGAAGGAAGAAAAAAGACCTTAAAAAAGTAATAAAAGCATTGCTAAATCTTTAAAAAGAACTAATGGTTGCTAGCTCAGATAAATGGGATCGTGAGAGTCTGTATCAGAGCCGTTGGTCGATCCTATGGTTTTGACCAGTGAGGCTCAAGTTCAAGGATGAAACCACATGTGCAAGAAAGGTGGAGTTCTTAAAGCGCACATGTGAGGAGGGCTGTTAGGAGCAGCACTGCATTCAAAGAAGCCAACCAGAATGGGATTTTACTCTGGAGGCAATCAAGAGACATGCTATCAAGGTGAATATCAACATTACTTAATGTTATTACTGCAAAATTTGAGCACCAATCTGATACTTCTTTTCCTCTTTATTTTTATTTGTATTTTTTGAGACGGAGTCTCGCTCTGTCACCCAGGCTGGAGTGCAGTGGCGTGATCTCAGCTCACTGCAAGTTCCACCTCCCGGGTTCACGTCATTCTCCTGCCTCAACCTCCAGAGTAGCTGGAACCACAGGTGCCCGCCACCACGCCTGGCTAATTTTTTGTATATTTTTTAGTAGAGACGGGGTTCCACCGTGTTAGGAGGGTCTCGATCTCCTGACCTCGTGATCCGCCCACCTCGGCCTCCGAAAGTGCTGGGATTACAGGCGTGAGCCACCATGCCCGGCCTCTTTTCTAAATGATAAACGTTTTTATTTATCATGCTGCTTAGTGATTTGTATCAAATATCTATCAATAGTTTAGTGAAAAGACCTGCAGGTGTGTGATACTATTTTCTTCATTATGACCTCACAGCCTTGGGTAAAGTTTGAGAATAGACTGGAAGGAATGAGTTTCAGCTGCAGTGAACCGGGCTGACGGACGACGAACATTGTAATTGTGAAGACTGAGACAGTGAAGAGGACTCCTAAAGGGATTAGCACATCCATCATCTCTTAGGATCTTTAGGAAACATGCAGAGGAAAGCTGGCTTTGGCTTAGGTGTGAGAAAGCTATACGGTATCATGGCTGGGAGTCGAGGGACCTGGGTTCCCGCCAGGCCGTCAACCAGCTGTGAGGCCATGGGAAAGCCACTTAATGTTTCTGGGCCTCAGGCTTTTTTTCCTGTAAAATAAAAGGACTGGATAAAAAGAAGGGATTGGACTAGAGGATCTCTCAAGTTCCTTCTCATTCTCAGATTCCTTGACATTTTTTTCAGTTCCATGAGACTCTCCTAGCACCCTCTGGGCTCAGTTTTCTCACTGGAAAGGTATCTCCAACTTCAGATAGGAAAATACAAAGGCATTCCATACTCACCACTTGGAGGTGAATATAAACTTCAAGGGGAGTGGTTTTCAAATAATAAAAGCTCACTGTGTCACATGACGCAGGAGGACAGGCAGTGGAGATGCCCGGGGTGGGAGGGCACTTGGGAAGCACAGCTAGAAAGGGATAGTGCTACCCTGAAGGGCCTTTTGAAGGCTAGGTCTATTATGATTAGGATTTCATGGATCTGCTGGGACTGGCCCGGGTGATAAGAATGAGGCTGATAAGGGTGCCCTGATAGTCAGAGAATGACAAATTGGGAAGGAACAACAGAGATCACGTCTTTCAATTCTCTTAATTCACAAATGTGAAAACACAGCCAAATAAGAAGAGAAATCCCTTTTATATAATGACTCTACATGGGAAGAACTTGATGTAGGCAGGTCTTTTTGCACTATGTAGCTCATTTCATTTATCTGTCCATGGATCTGGTGCTTAGCTACTCAGTGGCAGAGAAAGCAATGTGTCACTTACACCGCTCAATTTTCCTGTTGCTCTGAAGCTCTGAAGTTCACTGGCACAGACCCATCCTACACCTGTGAACGTGGCTTTCCTTGCCATTTTGGGATACGTGCTGGCAATGAATACACGGCCTAGTCTAGTTCCTACACAGCCTAGAGACTCCACTAATGTTTGCTGAATTTAATTAACACAGACCACCCCAAATCTAGAGGAAAAAACATTCGGTTGAGCTTTTTCAGTAAGGGGGTTTTTGGGTGTGCCTGGGTTTTGTGGGCAGAGAATCTTCAGGTATCCTTTGGAGGGCAGTCAGTAGAGTCCTGTGACCAATAGAGGGGATAAATTGTTTTCCACAAGGCTCATTGATCAGACACCTGCCCCTCTGGCTCTCAGATATGGACCTATACACAGGTAGGAAGCCAGGGTCAGAAGCATTACTTGAGAGTCAAATAGTATGAAGTTGGAATTATGTCTATGGCTCAACACAACAGTGTGCAGCAAACGCTTCCATGCAAGGGGGCCTTCAGCTGATCTGTTCCTGGTGTTAGGAACGTGCCACTCACGCCGGATGGCTGGGCTTGTTCAAATCGCTCAGTTAAAACACAGTATTCATTGGGTGTCCACTGATTGATTGATTGCTCGAGGCTCCAAGGCCGTTTGGAGGAGGTGGGAGAGGACAGCCTAGCCATGAATTTGATCACATAAAATTAGTGGTTCCCGTTTTAAAGTGAAATCTCATTTCATGTTAAAAATAGTTTGTAATGTCCAAAGGTTTGGGGAGGCAAAATGTTGTGATACTTAGTTCTTAGGATTTGCTCTTCTGAGATGTTTATGAAAATAAGAGTGTGAGAAAAATGTTTTTCTATTCAATGTGAAAAACATCTCTGAGCACAGGGCCTTGAGCAGCTCCGATGACCAGGGCCTGGGTCCACTGCAGAAGCAGTTTGCTCAAGTGTCTGCATGTCTAATGTCAAAATCATTTTCAATGCAGATATTTTTGTGGGCTGTATTTTCCAGGGGGTGATGAAAATGTAAATGCATTTTATTTACCTGTTGGTGGTAGAGAAATGCCATCCAGTCTTTCATCACTGTCCGTGATCTCTGCTGGTTACAAATATAAAACACAAATCTCATTAGTTTCAGGGAGCACATTCATTCTACTGAAAATAGTGATGTAATCTTAAAAACTCGAGTATGCATAAATTTTCACCATTCTTTTCCCTTTTCAGCTATCATTGGTTCATATTACAGATGTTAATATCGTTTTATGAGTATTTTTTGATGATGGTGATCTAAAACCAACTTTCCCGTATTAAAATTTTTAAAAATCTTATCAGCCTCATTCTATTGATCACTGATGACTTCTGTTTATTTTCACTTATTTACAGAGGCTTAAATATCAAACCAGCATGGGGGGTGAACTGTTGAGATAGGGTCATCGGGGGAACGTGTCAGTGAATTCCTGCTGCAGAATTGCACTTGGCATCGCCAGAACTACTCCTGGGGGGCCGCTTAGGAAATCCTGAGAATGAACCTTTCTTTGGAGATGACTGATGCAGATCCTAGAGCTGCCAATCTAACTCTGGCACCAACGTGGTCATGAAGAAGGTATAGGCGTTGCTTCAGAAGATTCTCCATTGCTACGTTTTAAAATGCAAACCTTTGCTCATCTCTGATAAATGTATCCATCTCCTTGGGAGTTTTCCAAAGGTAGATTCTTCAGTCACAACAAACCTTCTGTTAAATGCAAAAAAAAAGGTGCTCATGTGTCTCTTGATAAGGGATGGGCTTGTTAGTTTCCCGTAACACGTGGGGACGGGAAAACATCACATTTTGGCCCCTGGGATAGTTTCGGTGGTGCCCTCCGTGGCCCAGGGCCTGTGGTCCCCATAGGAAGGCCCCTGCTGACTGCATAATGTGTGTGGGCAGCCCTTGTGAGGCTGTTGAATGAGGTCAGCCTTGGCACCACGCTGTAACACTGAGTCGGTAGAAGCCTAAACTAGTACTACGTACTTGTTTTTATTGTTGCTTTAAACATAATCAGGGCTTAGCTATGGCTAGAAACACTGTAAGGCTCCCCCATCTCCTTCATCCCCCAGCATCTTGTCGTCAGATGAACACTCACTGGCATTAGTGAAAGACCCTTGTCTGTTGACCTGCTAGATCCACCACAAAGAGCAATCACTGAGAAGGGACGAGATATGCAAGACCAATCTAGGTTGGGGAAGACTAGCAACCACTAAAATGATGTTGTAGATGAATATTTAATAACGAAAAAATATTCAGTCAAACCATGGGATACATGGTCTGATTAAAATTCTGGAAACAGGTTTAGAGAAAAAAGACAGCACATACTAAATGTGAACTGTGTTTCCCTCTGGATGAAAGGCTTTAGGTATTTTCAATTTTGTTCTATGGCTTTTAGAAATTATTTTACATATGAAAAATAACGAACATATGTTATGTTTATATTTAGAAGACATTATTTTCTTCTAATTGGTTTGAGTGAGTTGGAATAGACAGATGGTCTTCATGGTAGTTCTCTCATTGCCCAGGATTTTAAAAATCCTTCAATAATAATAACGATGATAATCTCCAGCATTTATTAAATGCTCACTGGGCACCTGACATGCAATGTGTCAGTGAACCCGTAGGAAACTCTACAAGGTGGGTCTGTTGTTCTGCCCATCTGAACAAACGAGGAAAGTGAGACAGAGGTTAGGAAACTCACTCCAGCGAACACAGCTAGTAAGTAACAATGCCCAGGACATGAAGCAGGTTAATGTCTGGGCTATTCATCTCTTTGCTATTAATAGTCCAAACATACTATAAGCATCATTATGAGCTAATTTCTTAAATCTTCTAGTTCTAGTTCATTTTATAGTTTAGCAACTTTCTTTACATCTATAATTGCTTTTCATTTAGTTATAACAAGGTCAGTTCTGGGTATAAACTGATCTTCCTTTTGTAATTCAGCTATCCTCCCTTTGAAAAACAGGCCTATGCAATTATGTGCTTTAGTAAGAACAGAACATATATAACAAAAAAAAATACAGATGATTATATATAAATCAGAACATGCTAGTTGCATGAATAGGGGCTGAGAGTCAAGGATGAAGGCACTGTTGTGTTACTCAAATTTAATTATAACATCTACCTGCAACAACAAGCTCACACTCTTTCTTCCCCGGTGACAATCAAGTTGGTAAATTTGGAAAAGATTGAGCAAGTCCAATAAACATTTAACAGCAGTGGCATCTTTACTCTGAGATCTAACACGATATATTGTCATTTCAGCTCTGAGAAAATCATGTAATGAAAATGATAAAAATGCACACCAGGAAAGGAATCACTGGAGTTACAGAATAAAAATGATCTCATGTGACGACAGCCCCAAATGAATTTCTATCTGGATTTGCATAACGGCCTTTCAAATCTGTGTGGGGCATTTCTTTTTTTTCTAGAGGCAGTGCAGGCTTCCTTCAGCGGTAGCCAATTAGCTTGTGGAGTCAGAGTCTCTACCTCATTCCAGGAATGGAGCCAGATATGATAAATAAGGTTGAAGTTGTGCAATCTCTATGCGACACTGTTTGTATTATCATTTAGACTGAAAATTATCAAGACAAAAAGCGTGAGAGCAGGTAATATTATTGATCCAGACCTCTTGGTTCCTATCAGCATCATGGAAGGAGAGAAAATGGCTCTAGTTTGAATTTGCTGGGTCCCCGCTTCTGTGCCCTAGAGGAGAATGATGTGGAACAGGATTTGACAAAATGGGAAGACAAAACTGCATTTGGCAGGTCATTGCTGCTGTGCTATCATTTGGGTCTGCTTGTCAGGGTTGGTTTTATCTTACAGCCACTTTCTACTTCTCAGTTGCTAGTAGAACCTGCTAGGAACGCAGAAGAGAAGGGCCAAGGGAGCCAATCATAAGTATCTGGGCAGATCATCTAAGCCAGTGGTCAAAAGTTACAATGTCCGACATCAAATATTCTGATGCCTAAGGGGCAGAAACGGGCAAGTGAGTAGAGGCTCCTCGAGGAGGGGAGGGGTGGGGAGCAGGATGTGGCTTGGGCCTCATCCTGTAGAAGTGGGCAAACCTGGGGGGAAAATGGGCGTTTGTGATATGAATTATCAACAGAAATGAGGCATGGTTAGGGGATGTGTTCCCTGTCCAGTCTGCTTGTGGGAAAGAGAAGAGGGATGTGGCGGCACATCTCTACTGGCTGCGTGTCTGCTTGCTGGTGGGACCGGGGAAGGGAAGAGAGACCAGAGCTCATAATAATCGGTCTCAGCATCTGACGACAGAAGGAAAAGAAGGTGTGTTTATGTCTAAAATGTGCAGCATGGGGAAGGCATCAGAACGCCATTTAAACTGTGTTTCTTAGTCACATGATCCACTGCCAGCAAGGTCTTTCTGGGTCCCTGAGAGAAGCCTTCTACAGAATTTCCCCACTTTTTTTTTTTTTTTTTTTTTTTTTTAAAGAAACAGGGTCTTGCTCTGTCACCCAGACTGCAGTGCAGTGGCCAATCACAGCTCACTGCAGCCTCAAACTCCTGGGCTCAAGTGATCCTCCTATCTTAGCCTCCCAAGTCAGTGGGACAACAGGTGCGTGCCATCTTGCCTGGCTAATTTTTAAGGTTTGTGTGTGTGTGTGTGTGTGTGTGTGTGTGTAGATAGGGTCTCCACAAAACATCTGGAGATGTTGCCCATGCTGGTCTGGAACTCCTGGGCTCAAGCAATCCTCCTGCCTCAGCCTCCCAACTATTTTTAGTTTTTCTGGAACTTCCATACTGCTTTCCATAATGGCTACACTAACATATATGAAATTAAAAAATCTTATCTAGAGATGTGTGGCCTCCTACAGATAGTTACTCTTATTTGATGGGAGAAAGCTGACTACACAGGGATTCTTCATTAGGAAATTGGCCCCCACCGTCACCTTGGGGAAGCGGAGACTTCAATGACCAAATCTGAACAGTTGTAATTCTCCTGGTGCTCACTTTTCCTGGAGGAATAATCCCAGAATCTCCAAGCCCAGAATTTAAAACCCACATACACAACCCGTGCATGCACGCGTGGGCATACACACCCCCCACTTAAAATCCCTTTTACTTGATGTGGTGTTGCTGGTAGAAGAGTTTTTTTTCTTCTTCTTTTTTTTAACCTTAAGCAACTTGTACTTTCATAAAGTCACGCAGATTCAAACAAATAAAAATCAATAGGTAAACAGAAGCAAACCATCAAAGAGACCCAGTTTTCATATATAAGAGCATTAGACTACAAATGAGATTAGCAGTCTTTTTCACTTGTACTCTTCAAAGCAAGTGGCCTGACATAATTTTTACTATTTAGTCCGAAGGTGAGTTTCAAAATTCACCTGAATAAGACTTTAAGAGAGCAAAGCACAGCAGATTATACACAGTCTGTCCTTCAAAAGACAAGACGCTGAAATAACCTAGAGCCAAGTATTGTACTTTATAAAGTCGAAGAATTCCTAAGTGCTTCTCCAATTTTTTTTCTGCACCTTAGTCATACCTGAGCCTCTTTTTAACCTTCTTCTGGCCAGTTTAATTTGATCCTGTAGAATCTGTACCCAGTCTCTTGGGCCAGGAAGCTTATCCACATGGTGAGCTGTACAGTACTTTTCTGTGAAGACTGAAAGAAAATGTAAAATCTTGTTGAATACCTTAAGTAAAATATGCAGATCTGAAACAGATACATATTCTACAAAGAAAAAAAAGTGTATTTCTTTTTTTTTTTTTTTTTTTTTGAGGCAGAGTTTCACTCTTGTTGCCCAGGCTGGAGTGCAATGGCACGATCTCAGCTCACCGCAACCTCCGCCTCCCAGGTTCAAGCAATTCTCCTGCCTCAGCCTCCCTAGTAGCTGGGATTATAGGCATGTGCCACCAGGCCCAGCTAATTTTGTATTTTTAGTAGAGACGGGGTTTCTCCATGTTGGTCAGGCTGGTCTCAAACTCCCGACCTCAGGTGATCCGCCTGCCTTGGCCTCCCAAAGTGCTGGGATTACAGGCGTGAGCCACTGCGCCTGGTCTAAAAAAAAGTGTATTTCTAAAGGATGTCAGTTCTGTATCTTCAGTATCTGGATTATATTTCTTTGGCAGAGATGGAGATTGACAGGTCCTGGCTAGGTCCAGTGCATTGTGCTTCAAAATGAAACTGGCGATACTCACTAAGTAGTCTGCATGGAAGCTGCTCTTCCTACTGGCTCCACATCCATCTGTATATATCTTATAGGCAGAGAAGAAAATGCTCCCTAAGGGTCTACTGACCTTATGGCAAGGTTTTGCAAATATATTAAAAGAGTTCAGTTTTTTGTTGCCAATTCAAAATTGAATGCAAAATTAACACGAAAAGATGGTCTTTCTCCTGGTGATTTCTACTAACTCAATCAGTACTCAAATAATAATGCAGTTGGTGTCGTGATGAAAGTTCCAGTTCTACTTCAAGTCAACACCTTGCACATCACATGAGCGCCCAGGAAAGAACTACCCGATTAAGCACAAAGGGAACTAAGGAGAACCCCATGGCAGGACACAAGGCAGGCGGGACAGTGATGGTGGGAGGGCTGTGCACAGTGTGTGGCCGCACACGCGGCGCTGGGGTTGACGTTTCCGCCTCACACTCACTCCTGAGCACTTTGAAACTCATCTTTTCAACCTGTCCTTCGTAAGGTCAAGATCTGGTAGGCCATGACATCCCATTGCCTCCTTGGTATTTAAAATATTGGTAATTTCGATGTTTTGAAAAGGTTTCTCTTAAAAAAAAAAAGACAAAAGAAAATATTGACAGATTCAGCTATGGAAAAAGGTAAAATTTCTATTGAATGGAAAATAAGGCATTTCATCAGAATGAGAAAAGCTAGTTGTACTAAATGTGACCGAAAAGGTTCACGATCTACCGTCAGATAAAGAGCTCATTTACATAAACGAGTAACCTCGAAAGTCCCCATAGAGAAATGGGCAAAAAATATTTAACAAAAAATATTAGGAAAAATGTTCAATTAATATGTAAACCAAAGAACTGCAAAACACACTTTATACCTACTAAAATTAGAAGAACAACGTTAGAAAGCTAATACTTGATACTGATAAAACTGGCACATTCAAACATTACTGTTGGTGCAAACAGGGAAAATCCTTTGGAGAAATCAGTAATATTTAATGGGAGACATAAAACTGTTGTACCTTTGGACTGGTAATCTTACTCCTGGAAATTTATCCTAAGGAAATAATTTGAAAGAGAAAAGCAGATATATGTGATCTCTACTGTCAACTACATGGCGACAATCCAATTGTGCAGGACGAGATCAATGTCAGTAGCGTGGTGGACACATTTCAGGGAGCCCAGAGCGAAGCAGGGAGCTCCCCTTCAGGAAGCTACTGCAAAAGCCTGAGCTAGAGACGCATCTAGGGCCTCTCAGAGAACTGCCATTGTTTGGTTCATCACATGATGTGGTAAAAAGAGAAGAAAGGCAAGGTGTGTGAGCTGAAAGGACATCACAGGCTTGGTTTGGAGCATGCTGAGTTTGGGGTGTTTGTGGAGCACCCACGTGGAGATGGCAGAGACAGTCCTGGTTCCAGGAGATCCCAGAATCTGCAGATGTTCAGGTCCCTGATAGAGGCCAGGCATGGTGGGTCATGCCTGTAATTTCAACACTTTAGAAGGCTAAGGCGGGAGGGTTGCTTGAGGCTGGGAGTTTGAGACCAGCCTGGGCAACACAGTGAGACCCTGTCTCAATCAATCAATCAATAATCCGGGAGTGGTGGTGCAAGCCTGTGGTTCCAGCTACTCAGGAGGCTGAGGCAGGAGGATCACTTGAGTCTAGGAGTTTGAGGCTGCAGTGAGCTATGATCACACCATTACACTCCAGCCTGGACAATCGAGTGAGACCTTAAGCAACTTGTGCAACTGTGCCTTGAGATACCAGAGCATACAACAGCAGTGGAGGGGCGCCCAGCCTATTTGCATGACTTTTTATTGTTGCATTGAATTTTTTTTTTTTTTCTGAATATTTTCAATCGGTAGCTGGTTGAATCTGTGGATGTGGAACCTGCAGACAAGGAGGCCAAGTGTATTTAGACAGAGAAATCTACAGTTCAGAGAAGGGGCCAAGCTGAACACACTGGTTTAAGAGGCACAGACATACATGTGGTGGTTAAAACAGTGAGAGAGGCCGGGCATGGTGGCTCATGCCTGTAATCCCAGTACTCTGGGAGGCCAAGGCGGGTGGATCACTTGAGGTTAGGAGTTCGAGCCCAGCCTGGCCAACATGGTGAAACCCCATCTTTACTAAAAATAAAAACACTAGCCAGGCATGGTGGCACGCACATGCAGTCCCAGCTACTCAGAAGGCAGAGGTAGGAGAATCGCTTGAACCTGACAGACAGAGGTTGTAGTGAGCCGAGATCGCACCACTGCATTCCAGCCTGGGCGACGGAGCAAGACTCTGACTCAAAAACAAACAAACAAAACAGTGAGAGAGAGAACGTCCACCAGAGAGAACACGGAGAGTGGAAAGGGCACAGGCTGGGTTGGGAGCTCTGGGGAATGCCAGGCTGCCAAAGAGAAGGTGGAGGCAGAAGAGCACAGGAAGGGGCCCAAGCGCGGCTGGACAGGCAGGAGGGATGGGGAGACTGGTGGGAAGGCCAGTGAGTGGTCCTAATAAAAAGGAGGGACCAGCAGGTTGCAGTGCAGAAGAGGGACAGAAGGGGTGGCTTGGTGCCCTCTGAAGGTCAGCAAGGGCCGGGGAGGGTGGTCACTCTCAGGACACCTGGCCCAGAGGGGAGGGTGGAAGAAGAGGGGAGACAGGAGGGCTGAGGGACAGGGATGTGGGTGTGGTGTGCAGGCTGAGGGAGCGGTGGTGTGGCAGGAGAGAACAGGATTCAGGGAGAAGGAGGAGACAGTCAAAGGCATCACCCTAGGGGGCTGGGGCTGATGGATCTGGAATAGAAATGGAGGGGCTGCCTCCAACAAAAGGAGGGAAACATCCTCTTTGGAACCCACAGGAAGGGAAGATGGTCGATTCAGAAGTGGTTCTAGGCTGGAGCAAACACTCCTGAGCCCTCAGTGAGCTCAGGGGTGAGGGGCTCTGGAGGATGGAGGGTGTAGAGGAGGTGTGGGATCATCTCTCAGAAGAATCAGAGAGGAAGCAGACCGCAGACAACTGATACCACTGCCAAGCCGCAGACGGGCTACGTGGTAGGGCTATGCAGCGCGGTGAGAGTCTACAGGCTCTCCACCTCAGTCCCTGCAGCTCCTTTAGAACACCGGATGGTAGGGCTGCTCTAGGCTCAGGGTTTTGCTGGAGAGTTTTGGCAGAAGAACACGGATATAAGCCCTTGAAGATGCTGAAGGTGTGACCGGGCATGAATGAACTCACCTCTCCACTCCTCCCCTCTCCTTCACCCCCCCAAATCTAGGATGGATGTGAACACAGAAAAAGAATCATGGGCTTGGAGCTATCTATAGAGATCAGGGAATGCAGATGTCAATGGGTTGGCAAGCAGGAGTCATGGAGCTAGAAGAATTGTTCCCCGAGATACTGGAGAATACAGCAGCAGCTGAGGAGCAGCTGCGTGTGAGGATGCTAAGGTGTGGCCAACAGTACGGGGCTGAAATGCAGTAGAGGTGAATGTCACCGTGGATGAGGTCCAGCTACTACATAGGCTAGGCCATCAGTCATGTGGACAGACAAGTGATCAGGATGACAGTGGGACCAGGGAGCAAGAGGAAGTCTTAGTGGAAAGGTTCCATCAGAGCCCCACCTGGGGAGAGGGGCAGTGATGCTTAGAAAGCACAATTAATGACTGGGGAGAAAATCAACTAGGCTGCCCGATGTATGATATGGGGGGACCGGGAGAGCAAGGCGGGGATGTGCCGAGGAAAGGCTATCCCTGGGGGTGCACATACTTTCAAATCTCTGCCACTAGATTCTAAGCAACTTCAGTGTCTTCATCTCTTTTGTCTCCCTCAAAACACCTACTATAGTGCGTTTTTCTGAAGAAGAACTCAAGCATTTGATAAATAAGCCAACATGTTTTCCAGTTTTGTTTCTAATGGAAGCAAATACATTAGCTTACAAATTTAGGCTAATTGAGGGAAAATGGTCTATCTGAATTAGCAGGAAGTCTTTAATTAATAGGATCTATTTAAAGAAGCAAGGTCTTATTGCCTTCAAATACCCACAAGAACATTTACTAATCAGATAATTTCCAAAAGGTTCTTGAAGTCCTGTTTTAATAAATAGAACAAAATATTTCTGTTTAGCATCCTATTCTTTTATGGAAAAATGTGTACTACAAAAATCACTGTCACAGCAGGTAAACATCTCCCCCCTTGTAATATTATTTACACAGTTAATTTCCATAGCAACCCCTCTTTTCTTGGGTTGTGAAATGCATGTGTCCAAATTAGCACACATTAGAAAGTCATGGCTCCAAATTAACAAAGTGGATTTGGACTACACCACATTGAATGACTCCCATGTGTGCGGACAAGCAAGTTCAAGATAAGCCAAAGGAGACTGTGGACTCTGCTCCCATGTCATGAGGAGGTTCAGACCAGACCCTTCTAGTCCAACCTTAAGCTCAAATATTCTCTCAGTAACTAAAAGGGCAGCTGTGTCTGGTTATTTT